TACAGCAATATCTGTACAAGAATGATCAGTGATCACTGTGTTACAAACCAAAATTGAAAAAAGCATAATTGTACATTAGTAAGAACTAGGAAATAGTTTGCCCTTACATGGGCTACTCTCCAGCCTTGACAGAAGAATATGGTAACTGTTGAGTTGAAAAGGTGAGTGTATAGATAGATGCTCAGTATGTGATTATGTACGGGGGGGGCGGGTTGGAGGAAAAATATTGGAGATATGACTGGCATAGGAATGGACATTACCCACCCCCCCACATTGTTTAAGGGCAGACTACACCCCTCACCAAATAATGGACAGTTCTTGAGTATTTGAAATCCCTTACTCAGACCCTTACATGATCCACACAGAGAAAGATGGACTCTGAGAAAGGTGGGTAGACCTCAAGCCATCCAGGCAGATCTACACCAAACCTATTCACAGCCAAGCAGACTGACTCTACACAGATAGGATAAAACACATCCCCAGATAGGCAAAAAAACAGATGGAACACCAGCATGGACACGCAGACCCAAACCCCTAAAGAGCCAGATCTTTAGTGGAATAAAGTCCACACCTGGACATACGGACCCCAGCCAGAGAGGTAGACCAATACAAACAGCCTCACAGACCAACCAGTCCCACGCAGAGACCACCAAAAAGATATGGCCCCAGAACACAGACCCCCTCGGCTATCTAGACAGACAGATAGACTATTAGCTTGACAAGATCTTAGACAGTCCTAAGCAGATCCCAGATGGACAGATTCCACCAAGTCCTCCAGGTCAGCAGACTGACGGACCTTCCAGCCAACCAACCTTCTACCTTGCTAGATGGACACCCATCCAGGTGGTCATTGCCACACAAAAAACCCTGTCCACACAAACATCCCAGCCAGATAGATGGATCCCCAGACAAGCAGGTAGTCCCCTCCAATGTAATACCTCCATTTTGGCAGGCACAGTAGTGTACCTTCTGAACATAGAGCTGGGTGGGCCACCAACCAGTTATCTGGCAACAAAGGCAGACAGACACTCAGAGAAGCATCCCAAGTTAGGCATATCCTTCACTATCCAGGATATCTCATAACCTGGCAGACATTTCAGTTGGATCAATCCTTCAGACAGACAGACAGACAGACACTACTAGCAGATAGACAAATTCTGAGCTCCTCAGATAGATGGATCCCCAATTTGATCTTTGGATCCCTATTCAGACAGGAGACTTACTACCCTCAGCCAGAGAGAGATAGCCCCACACATGCACACTAAACAAACCCCAGACAGACAGACAGATAGACTCCTGCTGGTCAAACATTCCCTCAGGTAAGCCTCCCAAATAAGTAGATATACATCTCCAGATATTTAGATAGATTGACCCTCAACAAAGCAGCCTGCATCTGAAATCTTCATATTGCAAAGTTACTTTCTTCCAGTGCAGGTTAATGAGTAATTTCCCTCTGCAGGAAATAAGTGGTTCTATGAAAATTTCAAAATCTCTTAATTTCCATTCCCTCTCCATGGATACCCATTGTGTAGACAGGCATCATGCAGCCCATATCACAATGCTTTGGAAAGAGGAGTGTGGGAAACCACCTCAACATGATATTCTGGTTGCCATGTTTACTGTAAAAAATAAACTGTCCATTGCTCTGATCCAGAGGTCTGGTATTTTATATACGTAGATGGTCCCCAACTTACAGTGGTTCAACTTACACTTTTTCAATTTTACAGTGATGATGGTACAAAAACAACAGATATTCCATAGAAAACTTTTACCTTTACCTGACCTCGTGCCATATGGTATGATCTTTGATGCTGGGCAGCAACAGTAGCCACACCTCCCAGGCAGTCACGTGATCACGAGCCACAGGAAACAGTAGGAGAATAACAAGTCTAAGAATTGGCCAAATGATGAAATTTTTCTGCTTTTCAGATTACTTCATTGGTTAGAAAGACCTGGTCAAGAGCTATTAAAATTGAGGGGGATTTTGCTTGTATTAAAATAACCAGACTTCAAGAAACAGAAATACCAAGTATGTGCACAGTTCTTGTCATTAGTGTCTGTCCTCCCTAACAAGATTGCCATTACATTACATTTGTCTTTTTCCCCCAGAAAGACATTTGGATGGTTGGGGAATTTTGTGTCTGAAAAGTGTTTTGGACTGAGAGTGCATTACAAAGAAATGAAGTTGAGCCAAGACTGACCATTCCCTTGAGATATAGAATACATTTGTAGAATGGCTTTAGCATTTGCTAAAAGCAGACAATATCCAAGGGGTAATTGAAAACTAAGCTATTTAAATTTTTTAAAAAATAATTATAGTAAAAGACACATTGCCATTAATCTCCCTTGAAATAGTTTCCTCTCTTTGAACACATACCATCTTGGTCTCTTTCTCATCACTGGTACAAAATACCTGACATCTGCAACTTAGAGGAGGAGAGGTCTACTTTGGCTCACATTTTAGTCCACATTTGTTTGGCTCCAAAGCAGAAAGGCATGGTGGGAGGAGCTGGTAGAAGAAAGCTGCTCACGTCATTTACACCAGGAAGCAGAGAGTGAAGGAACAAGCCAGGAAAGGAGCCATACCCTTTCAGGTAACACTCCCAATTACTAGCCTCTTCCGACCAGACCTACCTCCTAACACACCTTTAGTTACAGTACCACCATGATTCAAAAGCCCCACCGATGAGCATATGAGGCTCTTAGGGGACATCTAGATATAAACCATAACACCATTATACTTGCCATTTTCTAAAGCAATTCTAGAAGTCCTATTTTGTTTTTTGAGGACGTGTGATTGAAAAATATGGTTAATACTACTTCTGAGTATCGTCCCACAGAAAGGCTCATAAAAATATGACGGTGTGCCTTCATCTACCTTATTCACTGGATCTGACTCTGTGAGACTTCTGCTTCTCCCCCAACGTCCAAATGACCATCAAAGGCAAACATTTTAAATCTATTCAGGACATTGAGGCAGCCACAACAGTGTAGCTAAAAACATGAAAGAGGATTTCCAAAACTGCTTCAGAAAGTGGCAAAATAATTGGATAAGAGTGGTATTTTCAGGGAGCTTAAGGGCAATGTGTCTTTACTGTGATCATTTTTTTAAATGTTTACCATTTGTTTCAATAACACCTCATATGCCTCATGGCTATTTCCTACCAATTTTTGGCTCTTTCCTTCCTTTATCACTGCCAACTCCTGCACATACAGTTTTGTATGTTTAGGGTACTAAAATGAACAGATATTTTAATATAGAACTGTGTATTGGGTAACAGAAAGATAAAAACAATTATGGTCTGTTAAGACTAGAAAGCAGCATGCTTTCTAGATGAAAAGAAGGTAGACAAAGAAGCAGGATGCAATGCTGAGGAGCTCATTTGGGGATAGGAACCAGTGAATATGAAGGGAGATGCAGGTGCAAAAGGATCTTTTAAAAAATGAAGACTTTCTCAAGACTGGTACTTTGCAGGCAAATAGGTTAAATACATAGTTCTTGCCAGCTGGCATTTATGCCAAGCTAAAGCATGCTTATTGCAGGGTACCTTTGTTCCTCGAGGTACTAAGAGCAAGAGACAGTCCAGTTCCCGGCAGGACTGGCTGATCCAGTCTTACATTCTGCAGGTCCTGTGAGTTCTGAGCACTAACAGGTAAGCTGTTCCCTGAAGAGGAGCAGGAGATACGCTCACATTTTTTAGGCCTCCTGATGGTCCCTGAAGCTGTCTCTGGGCTCCTGCCAGGACAAAGGAGGAATGGAAGTAATAGATTTGCTAGCACTGTTTCTGGTTCTATTCTGGTTTAAGGGACAGAATTTACCTCATGGGCTTTCGACCTATCACTCACACCCATAAGGACTATGATTTGAATGTGTGGCAGGAAGAGTGAGGAGGGTTAGCTGATGGAGCACATTTTTGGAGGAGCAGCGGTTGTTGCCCAGGTAAACATTCAAGAATAGGGGTGTCAGGGCTGGGGATTTAGCTCAGTGGTTCTGGCGCCTGCCTCGAAAGCACAAGGACCTGAGTTCAATGTCTGGTACAAAACAACAACAACAACAAAACAATAGGGGTGTCACCAAGCTAGTGGGTGTTAGTTTCCACATTAGATAGAAATCATAATACAAACTACTTATAGAGTAAAATAAAATTAAAGTTTATTGTACCAAAAAAAAAAAAAAAAAGCTTGCTGCCCCATAGATAACCTCAGGAAAAAGGAAGTAAAGTTGGCCATTCCACAGTCAGAGAAGCCCCTGACAAAGGATATATTCCTCTTCTATGGGGTCCCAAAAGGTTTGTTGTTGTTGTTGTTGTTTTCCTTCCCAAACTGGGAGAAGGGTTGGGGATTTCGCTCAATGGTTCCGCCGCCTGCCTCACAAGTGCAAGGTTCCGAGTTCAATCCCAGTACCAAAATACAAAACAAAACTGGGAGAGTTTTCTAGAGAGGTTGATTACTGCAGGGGTGTAAATTTGTTCATGTGCCAAAT